CAGCTTAAAATCATAATCATGTAATTAAAGTCTGAAGGATGCTGCAAGGTTTGTATTGTATAATTTTGAACCTGCTTTCTTGTCTAACAATAATTTGTAACAGAGTTACGAACGTCCCCCGCCTCAGGGAAGTTTTATATTAAGCATACAATTGTGATATTTCAAAAGATATTGGTATGGATCTCAAGACTTTTAATCCAAAATTATGATCAATGCTACATCTGCAAATACAACAATTTATTTATCATAGAAGTAAATTGAAACACAAATTGAAAAAATCTATTCATGCTAAGCTTTGACCTCAAAGTGTGACATTGACCTTCGAGGTAGGGGTACAAGTTTTAAACAGGGCATATTGCCTTATTATTGATACTATTTGTGCCAAGTATTTTGAAAATCCCTTGACATATGAAGAAGTTATAGATCGGACAAAAATATACCCTTTAACAGACTATGTTAATATTTGACCTCTAAGTGTAACTTTTGAGGTAGGGATTCGTGTTTTCCGCCTGGCATATCGTCTTATTATTATGATTATTTGTGCAAAGTATATCCCTTAATGTGTTATGTCAAAATCCCTCAAACTATGAATAAGTACTAGATCGGACACAAAATATACCCTTTAACAAACTATGTTAACTTTTGATCTCTAAGTTTGACCTTTAACTTGGAGGTAGGAATGCAGGTGTTGGGCGTGACACATCCTCTTATTATAGTGGCTATTGGTACCATGTAATTTTCAAATCCTATGAAAAGGTTATGGACTGGATACAAAATATACCCGTTAACAGACTATGTTAATCTTTGACCTCCAAGTGTGACCTTGACCTTGGAGGTAGGTGACAGGTTTTTGCGTATGAGACATTGCCTTATTATTGTGAACAACTGTAGCAAGTTTTTACAAAATCCCTCATAGGATAAGAAAGGTATGGATCGGACACGACATATACCCTTAAATAAACAATGTTGACCTTGAATGAGCAAGTGCGACCTTGACCCTGGAGGTAGGGGTCTGGTTGTTACGCATGACACATCGTCTTGTTAGAAAAAAAACAATTGTGTTATTTCAAATTCCTTTATTAAATGACAAGGTTATGGACCGGACACGAAAGTGTGATGGACGGACGTACGGGAAGACGGACGGACGAATCCTATTTCTATATCTCTTTTTTTCTTCGTCACGGGAGACAACAACTAGTGAAGAGCGAAAAACCGTGATATGGTGCACTTTTCTAAAAGAAAATTACTGAAAAACTTAGCTTGAAACAATACAGAATTATATGATCAAACAGAAAAAAAGGTTGAAGGCCGCTTTATAGAAATGCTATAAAATCATTTATTTGTACTTGAAAACATACATATTTGACTTCTGAAACAGCAGACGCTGCAATTTCTTAGCTTATATAATGAATACATTTGCTAAAAATAACTCAATATTTCTACATTGTAGAATGTAATTTCTATTATACAATTATTCCAAATGCCTTTTTCTAAATCAAAACCTTAGATAAACCAAAACATAACAAACTTGCACCCTCACAGACAGAAATATCATGCACAATAGCATGTTAACTTTGCTCATAAGTTTGGCATTTTCCTTTTTAGTTGTATTTTATAAAACAAAAATAAAAACAACACAGAAAAATCATCCATTAAGTATGTCATAAGGTCATCATATTCTACGATAATAGTTAGTATCTAGTACAGGAATGTTTCATATCCATGCATAAAAAATAAATAAATGTTAAACTTTTTATGAAACCACTATTGTTAAAACAGTAGTTTACAATCATTCTTTGAAATTAGCACTATTCCAGTTGCATACAGCTAGTAAAAAATTATGAAACAGGACACTGTAATGGTCATATAGGAACTTTGTAGCTTTACTAGTAGAAAGATCCTTGTACTGTTTATATTCATGGGCAACTATCCAGCTTTACAGATCAAGTATCCCACGATAAACTTTATATGACCACAATCTATTCAATTTTGACAATACAAATATGTATTTGTGGCGAAGTGGCCAATTGGTTAAGATGTTGAACTAGTAATCTGAGGATTGCTGGCCGTGTGGGTTCAAAGAACTGTTCATTCAGCTCACTTCATCATCGTAGAAATATTTTATCGTGAACTTTAATTTAAATGGTCGTGTATATCAAGCCAAAGAAATTACTTCTTAATTCAAACAACATGATAATCTAATGAAATCTCCTGCATTTTTTATATATGTTTTTTTTTTCTTTTTTGGAAAAAAAACCACAAAACATTTAAAGTATTGACACTAGCTATTAATGAAAATAGATATATGGCTCCAAAAGATACTGGTGTCATTATGAGGAAACATGGATATGACCCCAGCAGGGCTCATACTATTATAAAATCAATTTTTAGTAACTTACTGCAGTTCTTCTCGTCAGAAGAATCCTTACAGTCTCTCTCGCCGTCACACCGCCATTCATCCGGGATACAAACACTCTGGTTACACTGAAACTCTCCTTCTCTACACACGCTTTCAACTTGATGTAAATATGAAATACACAGATTATCATTAAGACTTTGGTGCAGCTTAAAATCATAATATTGTAATTAAAGTCTGAAGGATGCTGCATGGTTTGTATTGTATAATTTTGAACCTACTTTCTTGTCTAACAATAATTTGTAACAATGTTACGAACGCCCCCGCCTCAGGGAAGTTTTATATTAAGCATACAATTGTGATATTTCAAAAGATATTGGTATGGATCTCAGGACTTTTAATCCAAATTATGATCAATGCTACATCTGCAAATACAACAATTTATTTATAATAGAAGTAAATTGAAACACGAATAGAAAAAATCTATCATGCTAAGCTTTGAACTCAAAGTGTGACATTGACCTTCGAGGTAGGGGTACAAGTTTTAAACAGGGCATATCGCCTTATTATTGATAATATTTGTGCCAAGTATTTTGAAAATCCCTTGAACTATGAAGAAGTTATAGATCGGACAAAAAATATACCCTATAACAGACTATGTTAATATTTGACCTCTAAGTGTGACTTTGGAGCTAGGAATCCATGTTTTCCGCCTGGCATTTCGTCTTATTATTATGATTATTTGTGCAAGGTATATCCCTTGATCTATGAAAAAGACTGGACACAAAATAAACATTATATATATCGTAGGTGTTATGTCAAAATCCCTCAAACTATGAATAAGTACTAGATCGGACACAAAATATACCCTTTAACAAACTATGTTAACTTTTGATCTCTAAGTTTGACCTTTACCTTGGAGGTAGGAATGCAGGTGTTGGGCGTGACACATCCTCTTATTATAGTGGCTATTTGTACCATGTAATTTCCAAATCCTATGAAAAAGTTATGATCTGGACACAAAATATACCCGTTAAAAGACTATGTTAATCTTTGACTTCCAAGTGTGACCTTGACCTTGGAGGTAGGTGACAGATTTTTTACGTATGAGACATTGCCTTATTATTGTTAACAATTGTAGCAAGTTTTTACAAAATCCCTCATAAGATAAGAAAGTTATGGACCGGACACGACATATACCCTTACATAAAACAATATTGACCTTGAATGAGCAAGTGCGACCTTGACCCTGGAGGTAGGGACCTAGTTGTTACGCATGACACATCGTCTTGTTATAAAAAAAAAACAATTTTGTTATTTCAAATTCCTTTATTAAATGACAAAGTTATGGACCGGACACGAAAGTGTTATGGACGGACGTATGGGAAGACGGACGGACGAATCCTATTTCTATATCCCTTTTTTTCTTCGTCACGGGAGACAACAACTAGTGAAGAACGAAAAACCGTGATATGGTGCACTTTTCTAAAAGAAAATTACTGAAATGCTTAACTTGAAACAATACAGAATTATATGATCAAACAGAAAAAAAAGTTGAAGGCCGCTTTATAGAAATTGTATAAAATCATTTATTTATACTTGAAAACATACATATTTGACTTCTGAAACAGCAGACGCTGCAATTTCTTAGCTTATATAATGAATACATTTGCTAAAAATAACTCAATATTTCTACATTGTAAAATGTAATGTCTATTATACAATTATTCCAAATGCCTTTTCTAAATCAAAACCTTAGATAAACCAGAACATAACAAACTTGCACCCTCACAGACAGAAAAATCATGCACAATAGCATGTTAACTTTGCTTATAAGCTTGGCATTTTCCTTTTTAGTTGTATTTTATAAAATAAAAATAAAAACAACATAGAAAAATCATCCATAAAGCATGTGATAAGGTCATCATATTCTACGATAATAGTTAGTATCTAGTACAGGAATGTTTCATATCCATGCATAAGAAATAAATAAATGTTAAACTATTTATGAAACCACTATTGTTAAAACAGTAGTTTACAATCAGTTTTTGAAATTAGCACTATTCCAGTTGCATACAGCTAGTAAAAAAATATGAAACAGGACACTGTATTGGTCATATAGAAACTGTGTAGCTTTACTAGTATATATATTCATGGGCGACTATCCAGCTTTACAGATCAAGTATCCCTCGATAAACTTTATATGACCACAATCTATTCAATTTTGACAATACAAATATGTATTTGTGGCGGAGTGGCCAATTGTTGAAGATGTTGAACAAGTGATCTGAGGATTGCTGACCGTGTTGGTTCAAACCCTGTCAGATGCAAGTCAATTGACATGAATTGCTTAGTACTGGTTGGTTCCAAAACAGGTTCAAGAGGGTTTCAAAACCTTAAAGTTTACAACACAATCGATTTATCTGAAATGATCTTGTATGAACTAAATATATATTTAATGATACTATTGTGGTTTACTGCTTTTGTCATATATCTAAGTATATTACTACCAATTCATCCTTTTGATAAAATATAAGAAATAAAGGTATCATAAGAGCCTATTTCACAATATGTAGCCCATGTGTATATAACAAATCATGATAAGATGTAGTTAAAAATGCATGTATGTTAATATATATATATATTAATTACCACAGCCAATTTCATCCTCCCAGTCATTACAGTCATTGTTACGATCGCAGCGTTTCTGTTCCGGGATACAACGATGCGCTGCTACACATGCGAACTCATGTGGACCACAAAAAAGGTTTTCTAAACAAACAAATATAGATATGAATCGATTTAGGCTAATTATTAAAAAGAACTTACAAGTGACATTATGAACAATACACTTGTACCAATGCATATATTAAAAAGATACAACAGACCCAACAATTGACATAACCTTCTATTTCATATTTTGAGAGGGACATGACTTTCTATTTCATATTTTGTGCGGACATAACCTTCCATTTCATATTTTGCGAGGTTTTGAGAAACATCATTTATCAGAAAATAATAGTTTATCTATTATTATAATAATACACTGTCAGACTTATAATATTTCAGGTATATGCTTGCTCTTGACAAGCAAGCACTCAGCAGTACATTATTTTAAACTAGAATCAACACTAAATGTGAATAATACCCCTGCAAGACTGCTTCAGAAATAAGAATTTCAAAGTTACATAATATCTTGCAAAATAATTGAAATAGAGTAATGGTTGTGGGCAATTAAAGATAGTCATTTTTCTTGATGTTGCATTTCCTTTCAATGTGCTTGACCGTTGATGAATTTTTATGGAATTACTCTGTAATAAGTCCAGAAAGAGTTACACTTCTTAGGCACTGCACTTTCTCTCATTGCGCTTGACCATTGAATGAAGTAGCATTGAATTCCAAACATTAGTTAAAGTTATTCATCGGACAAGGAAAATGAACATGGGGCAATAACTCTACATATACTGAAGATGGATCTATGGTTATTGTGCACTGCACCTCCTCTAATTGCGCTTGACAATTGCTAAGAAGTTGTATTGAATTCCAACTACTAGTTTTCAAGTTATGCACTGGACTAAAAATACGAAGGACAATAATTGTATTTTTTCCAAAAAGAGATATGGTTCTTGTACATTGCACTTCATCTTACTGCCCTTGATAATTGTATAAAGTTTCATTGAATTCAAACTATTAATTTTCAAGGTATGCATTGGACAATTAAAAGTAACAAAGGGCAAAAACTCTTAAATAAGTCAAGAAATACTTATGGTTTCTGTGCACTGCGCTTTCTCTCAATGTACTTGACCATTGTTTTAAATTGTAATGAATTCCAACTACGAGTAGAAGTTTTCAAGTTATGCTCTGGACAAGAACAAAACAATGGAAAAGTAACGAAGGGCAATATCTCTTGAATAACTCTGGACAGAGTTATGGTTCTTGTGTACTGCACTTCCTTTTAATGTGCTTGACCATTGTATGAAGTTTTTTGAATTTCAACAAGTAGTTTTCAAGTTATGCTCCGAACAAGTAACAAAGGGCAATAACTTTGTAACTATTCAAGATTGGGTTATGGTGCTTGTGCACTGCACTTCCCCTTATTGTGCTTGACCATTGTATGAAGTTGTTTTCAATTCCAATCAGAAGTTTTCAAGTTATGCTTCGGACAAGGAAAGGAAACAAAGAAAATAACTCTGTAATTACTATAGATAGAGTTGATGGTTCTTGTGCACTGCACAATCCCTTATTTGTGTTTGACCATTATATAATGAAATTGGATGATTAAATAATCCAACATTAGTCTTCAAGTTATGCTCCAGACAAGGAAAATGCAATAAAACGCTGGACCGACCGACCTACCAACCGACCGTACGACCACATATACCCCAAAACTTCGTTTCGGGAGTACAAAAAAGAAATAATTTAATCCAAAGTAATGATCTATATCGATGAAGCGAGGCATGTATGTTACTGATATAATAAGGGGACGTTAGATTTAAAAGAAGAAAAAAAATGTACAGTTGTAATTTGAACTGTCTTTTTATTAAGGACGTTTTCCGAGATTTTCATAAAGACATATAGACTAGGCAAAGTTAAAACTGTTCAATACAATTTCTTTAAACTTGGCATGTTGGAAGAATATGATAACAGAAACATTTAAAGCGGAAATAAATGGGACAAATACAACCCAAGCTATTGAGTTATGTTTCATGAACCTTAATAATTTATATATGCAATGATCATAAGGAAAACATCTGTACTCTAATCTCAATGGCAATCAAAATTAATGTACTGTGAAATAACCAAATGTTTATTTTCCTCATAATGTATGCTAAATAACCTATTTAACAGAAGTACATGTAACATGAATTATTGAAGAATGTATATGGTGCCATTTGAACCGCCAAATATAATTTGATTTAATTACTTTTTAAATATAATAATGCTTTGATTATTCTATCATGATATTGAAACAAAAGGCTATTGTCCGCATGTGGGAAGCGTATTGAAATATAACGTGTGTAGAATTACAGGAAAGGAAAAAGCAGATTGACCAGTCATGGGACTAGAAGTAAAGGTAGACATTACATAATGCTATAGTACGGAGGATGATCAAAATAACACGGACATTTGTAAAAGATTCTACTTGTTAAAATGCCATTTACAACGAATAAATAACACGGAAATAATCCCGGAATCATATCCCTAAATATACAAACAGCAAAAAGAAATATTAGAATATACAAGATTATGCAGTTATTACATGTAATGTAAAAACAAATGCAACGCATGGTGGGCAATTTCAATTGACGTTATCGACTCATAGCGAATTTATTCTAAACGAAGCAGTTCATTAATGAAGTAAGACAATGCGTGTTTCACATGAAATTGATAGAGGCGGATCACACTGCCTAAATAATAACCTCTGTACAGTTTTGATGTATTGTATTGTTATCGAATCGACTGATAATAAAAAAGCATCTTAGTATACGAGCAATTTAACGGTCTTTCCCTTCTGTATCATTGCTGAAATCGCAACATGCAATAAGACGACACTATGTTTTACATTAATGTTATGTTGCTGAATGATAATGTATCATACATACGAGAAAATAAAACAATTATAATTAAACTTACAACAAAAAATGCCATTTTTTTAAATATATAAAATGCATAGCCGATTGTGAACAGTGACTGTTAAACTGTTGAAACAATTTCTCCATTAATCAGTTACGTAAAATAATAAAATAATTTATAAAATTGTAAACCAAGAATATTATGTAATAAATGAATTAACAATTATCATAATAAAATTCTAATAATAAATAGTGGACTGCACCGTCCCGTAGCTAATGTCCACTGTCAATCGACTACCATGTTTCAACGTCTCGGCGATTGACGTCACCAACGTGCTTTAAAATGTCTTCTTTTTGTTTTTCCCTTACTTGTTTTCGATTTCTATATTAAACTTTCTTAATCGTTTGTGCTAATCAAAAACTAAATTAAAATCAGTCAATCACGACGAATTTGACATGTTTTTAAAATTGATTTTAGCAAATTTAAGATATATACCAATTATTTATATTTTGTTAAATTTGAAATCATTTGAAATGTTGTCGAAATATTAAAAATGAATTGATGTTATTTATAACTTGATGTTTCTTTTTATCAGTTTATCCGAATTATCGGTAAAGTAGGCACCCGCTGATTGGTCTCCTTTGTCGTGATTAATCCATTTATTATCAAATTTTGAGTTAAAGCTCGTACATGAGATAAAAAGTATATTAAATGTGAATTATAAAAAATAAGATACTTATTGTATTTAAATGACAAAAAACAGAAGTTTAGAGAATATTATATTGTAAATAGAATTAAACCTTGAATAAAATTGATTTACCTTCTGGGCTATAGAAACAGTGATGCGCTCCCTGAGACACCGTTGATACATTAAATTTGGAGCAATTTGTATCTGCCTCCTGTCAAAACAAAGGTTCGTGTATTCGAGATATGTTGTTTTTCAACTGATTTAAGAAAAGGCCATGTTCAGTGCAACATGTAATACATGGCAAAACTATTCATATGATTTTACAAATTCGATTTGATTAAACATGACTTATGTTTATTTCAAATCCAGGATGGAATTTGATGCAAATTGAAAATATAGATTACGTTCAAATAGGTTTCTATTATACTTGTATAATAAAGAAAATATGTCAGATGTCGATTTAGTAATTTGCCTTTTATTAATTTGATTTCTGATATTATTAAAGTTACTTCTAATTATTACTGATAGAAAAATAAAAGCCCTTGCCTTTTCAAGAATGAAATCAGTCTCCAACAATCTAAATGTTTCATTTGTATGAACGTATTCCATGTCAGCCAAATTCTTTCTTTTACAAATTGAAATGTTAATAATGTTAAATAACATTTCCGACTGCCCTGAAATAGTGCAGATCAATAATTATGTTTTATCTTGTATTCATTCTGAACAATAGCAGTTGAGCAAACATACGTACGTCAAAGTAAATGAAATAAAGCAACGAACACAAATCCAGAACACATTTAAAAGAGTTCTAAATAAGAGAAAAACAGAATTCCAAATATTCAATTTTACAAAATATTTTAATGTCCTGTTACATTTTCTAAAAAGGTTAATCATTGGTCAATTTCCAGAGTCATCTTCTGCCTTTTTAGCGGTCCAACACCTAGTATTAAACAGTATTTATTACAGTGAATTACTGTATGTATAGAGTCAAAAGACCACTTAGTCAACATTTTCCTATCTTTATCATAAATTATTTCAATTCAGCACTATTTTGTCCGATTATAAGCGTCTTACATGTTCTAAATTCATAAAACATCATAAAACATATGCTTGTCTTTTCCTTAGAAAGAAAACTTTATTAATTCTAAAGTAATATTTTACTTATAAAGATGAGTACTGGAAATACAACCTGAGTCTATTCGTTTAATATTCCGTTCATTTAAACGTGTAACAGAGTAGAACTTTCAAAAGTATGATGATTTGTGTCAATTCGCTTTTCGGACATTTATTGACTAAAATCGATAGTTGATAGTTTTTTACAGACAAACAAAGAAACAAGTTTACAAAAATATTATCCACGAACCTTCTTCACTCACTAAAATATCTGGAATTTGACCATGCGACACAAATTCAGTGACAGGAAAAGTTCTGGTGGATTCCTCAAATTCTAGAAAAATCATGATACATAGACACCGTTGGATTTTTGGATATATTATACATCAGATTAATCTGCATTTTAAAGTATCTATAATGATAAACATAGCAGCTCAAATGTAACATTGATTGACTTTAATTTAAGTAATATATGATAATTAATCTCGAAATGTTTGATTCCAGATAAGACAAGGAAAATAAATAGATGAAAAATCGCAGAAACGAATTAACTGAATATGCTTATGAGAGATATTGGAAAGTATGATATATATTGCTTATACAAAAACCAGTTAAATTAAAACTTTTTTTTCAAGTATACAATAATTGATATATACCCATAGGACATGGAGATCCGACCTTATAAATGCTGTAGTTTCCTGGAATCCATTCTTCCTTATCAAGTGCAGTGTCATTTCGGAATTTCACGCAAAAATAAAAAAACGTCCAATTTTCTATACGATGTGGCGGTTTGAAATAGTCATCGTTTATATACGAGGAATAGGGCTCCCAATTCCAATCTAAATCGGTAGGGACACTTTCTGAATTTTTACTAAATTCTACCATCTTGACCTTTAAAATGCTTTTTGACCATCCTCGAGACTGTGATTCTGGACAGCCATATTTGCACATTGGTATTGCGTATGGCCCTGGTGGCCACACACTCTCTTTCTCTTGTCTTTCTGTAAACAGGAAGAAGAGTGCAGATATATTTAAATTTGAAAAAAAAACTTTTCAAAATAAATTGATAAACAAAGCAAAATGTGTGGTTGCTTCTAGTCACAGTCATCTGAAGCAGAGAAATAGTCAAATTAATATGCAGCAATTTTTCTACCTAATATATTTGTATGATTGTGTTCCAACATTTTAAAATGGGAATTACTTAACCAATACAACATTTTTTGAAACCTTCAACAAATCAAACAAAGTAATGTTTTATGTAAAATGTAAAATAACTCAATTATTTAAAGTCCTCTAAAGGAAGCAATGTTCTTCTCTTCAGTAGAATTAGTTGAAAAATAAAACAGTGTGATAAACTTTTTGTTTGTATCATTTATAAAGAGATAAATTAATCAATCAATAAATTAAATCGTTTTGTGTTGATAGTTTAATGTTGCATTATTATGAACCGAAGGTAAAAATGCTCGAAACTTTTTCTGTTGTGTTTAATTTTTAATGCTTATTACGATGCCGAAAGAAAACACACTTTTTTGGAATGCAAATAAAAATATAGCACGCGATAATATACCCATTTTGAGCGAATGAATTAAAAATAAACTCAAGTTTTTTAGCAACACTGGTCTCACATATATGTATGTATTTCTATTTTATGTTGTCATTTAATTCCGCAAAATAAATGCGTTACAAATAATTTGTAAATATGCGTTATAGTTATATTAGTTATATATAAGTTAGTTATATCAAATATCACCTCTACCAGGATGTAACATTTACGGTTCCAGCCGGCTTAAGTTCAAATTAATTTTTTATTAAGAATTCAGTTTAATAAGTGAAAAACTAATTATTGCTGTGGAATTGCTAAAATAAGCATACTACCATATCAGGATCAAGGGTCCGTTTTATCAACGCGCTACGACACGTCTTAGTCAAGTTTTTGTCGCAGACTTGTAACGATCATTTTTTGTTAAGTTTGTGTAGGTAAGAAATGTTTGGCAGCCTCTCGTAGCGTATAGAACTGTGTCTATTAATGTATACTGCTCAGGTGCAGTTATAGCAGTTTATTTTTATGATACTTGTAGAAAACTTTTCAATTTTTATTGTTATCTTTAATGCAACGCTGAAAGGAACTCTATACATGCGCTCTTAATTTAAGAAATAAACTGAATATACAAATTTTATACACCATAAAAATGTCTAAAATATCTTTCATTTGGAGGAAATATGCCCTTACGTTCATACTCCATTCTATTAAAAGTTCCAAAGATTTCTGTGGAAAATAGAATAAAAATTAAATAACATGTACAAGAAAATTTTGCTAAAATCTGTTTACATATTTTTTATTTCTCATCTGGATTAATGATAATATGTTTACTTGATTTTACATCATTTAAGATATTTCTTTGAGGTAAACCCATATGGTTTATAATTAAAGACACCGGAATGTTACCGTGGTCATGACACCGAGGTTTTAAAAAGACAATCAAAACAAAAAACAGTCAATATAATATAAAAACGATCAACAAGACAAGGTGGCATTAACTAAAAGTTACCGTGGATGAAAAACACTAATGTTTAAGTCATCAAGTTTAGTGATAACTGCAATCAGCGGTAGGGATAATTAGAATTAAGTCTGAAAATTTACTGGTGTATTAATGATGAATGTTATTTCTTAAAAGAAAAAGAATGCAAACTGTAATAAGATGATATTTTAGATACTATTTACATGAGATATACGTATATTTTATTAATGGGAACATGTAATCGCGCGAATGGGAAGATATTGCATGAGTAATATGTTACAGGAAAAAGCAAAGCAGCGTGTTACGGTACGAAGTTAAAAGCAGTGGCGCAGTTTACGCATATAATATACTTTACTGGGAAACAAAATTATCAAGACAGCTTGATTATTTCGGATACGATTAGAATTAGAGTAATCTGATTGAAAAAGATTATTATGATTCATGTATATTTCTTTCAGCAAGACGAAGTAACAGAACTAGGTTAGAGTAAGTAGTTTGTTTTGGTATGATGTGTATAGCTGTGAGGCGGAAAGATGCAAAGAATTGGGTGCACCATGAGCGTTAGTAGCAAGAAAGAAATGGGTGCCGATTTAGTAATTAATAATATTTATGAGCTTGAAAGAAATGATTGGGTTGTTATTCTATGAACAGGCTAGCTTTTAGTATTAGACGTATAGGCAGATATGTATGAACTATTGTTGGCTTCTTAAGAAAGGCAGGGATATATAGTTTTCTAACCTCGGCAATAGATTTAGTTAATTAATATTTATTATTATTTTCATTTAGTTTACTTGTCTATAATCAAAACTTCATATATTCGTTTTTGCTTTTCTGTCTTATGATAGGACAGTGTAATGAATATCTTTATTTTAATGGAAAATGTCACAATTTTGAACAAATGATACTTTAATCAATTCATCATTTCACAAACTATTTCTTTCATGTGAAATTACAGGCAGATACTAAATATTGTATTGTAATAGTCTGTGCAAAATCTGCAGTGATATTATTAATTTATGTATTTCAATTTTTCAAGAAACTACATGGAATATATATATAAAGACCTATGAACAATTAATTTAATTCCAAAACAATTAACAAACAAATATACATGACACTTTAAAGTGAACTATTTCCTTTAGATTACAAATTGGAACAGAACAGCGTGTTCCGTTTCAATTAAAGACGCCAAAAAATTAAAATAACAATTTATTTTTGTCGATGAATTGGCAATTGTAAATTTATAATATACACGTATATCATATTTGTTTCAAACAACGAGAAAGACAGGGGATTAGTAAGTCGATTACTTTTATCTTCTAGTGTGTACCGTATTCCTCGGAAAATACTATAAAAAATGCAATTGCGGGTACTCTTCACCTTATCTTGTTAAAATCAGTTCAGTAACAGTAAAGATAGTGTAAAAAACTTAATTGGGCAAACAAGTGGGTGTTTCTTTTTCTCATGAAATCGGCACACAAATTGAATATGTTAGACTTGTATTGTTCCTTGTTGAGGGCCTCATTCATAATTGATATGCTTGTTCAAATGATTTCTCTCGTTAAATAAAGTAAACAAAGTATTTATTATTATCATAATTATTATTATAAACGCACATTTTCCGCCCTTTCCGTCAGTCTTCGGAACACAATAGTACGAATACAGAGAACGGATACTGTATTTCGGTCTAACCTACACTAAGAAACTTAAGATTGAACAAAAGTAATTCAATTAGCTGGGAGTTGCTGACAAGATTATTTTCAAGTAAAAAACATCTTAAAATAAGTAGATTTATATATAGAAAAGCAAACAATACATTATTTATATATTGATTGTTATGTTTGTAGAAACCAAAAATACCAAATGCCAACCTGTTGACATTCAGTCCGTTTGTGTATCATTGTACTATTGTTAGACATTTTCAATCAGAAACATACTTTATTTTCCTTTATAAATCAAATATATACATTCGTTTTTAATGCATTCTCTGTTTTTGTAAACATATGACACCACGTGGAATAACTACTATCAATCCGTATCAAATTTTCAAATTGTCAAATTGTCTTTGAATTTGCATAGATGACTAAAGCAGATCAACGGTATATCAATATCCGATGAAAAGGATCACATGATCCTGGAGGAGAAAGGGTTCATTTTATTTATTTGTCGATTTTGAAGTTATTGTCGGTTTTGTAATAAGTGCTTTTGTGAGTAAATGAGTACTAGCAATGTGCATAATTCCCATCGGATAATTTGAAGGATATTTAAGAAAGAATACTAATACAACCTATTGAAAATGCTGCAATCTCAGTGTCCACAAAGAAAAGAATTAAATGTACGTGAAATGTTATCATAAAAACCGCCAAACTAATTTTATAATAAAGGTTTGCACCCTTTATTCTGACTTAATTTTCGTGACATTAATAAAAGGAAACATTCCAGCTGCTGTACAATTATATTGTCGACCGGTTAATTTACCCTATACATTGCATAAACTAATAACACATTTGTTTGTTGAGCTGTTCAGATAGCATTTATTGAAAGCAAATATTTCCATCAAACCAAGCCTGTAACATTTTCAATTTTGCAGTTAGGACGTTCGTTTGGGGATTCTTTGCCGCTTTATTTAATCTCTAAGGAGATGTTCATAGAGAATATGTGAAGCTAGATAGCCTGTTTATTAGTGTTTTATAGGTTTGTATGATACGGGAGAGGCATCATAACAGGAAACGATATGTCATTTTTTGTGATCTTATAACTTTAATGAAATGCCAGAGTTGATATTAGTTCTGATACCAGTCATCTTTCGCTTGAAAATGTTAATAGATAATTTTAATATGAAGGTCCTAAAATATCAGATAGGTTATACATGTTATTTTTGGACGATTTCACAATTCTTTGCCCTTCGATAGAAAATATAATCTACATAATCGGTTCCGTTTATTAATAATATGTATTATTGAGTAGAAAACTTTTAAATGTTTTATTTGCCTCCGTATATTTCACAGTCATTTCAAATGACTGACAGATGATGGTGCAACAAGGGTTTCTAATATAGGATGTCATTATATAAGTTTGCTCATAACCCGTTAAAGTTAAATACATGTATGTGACTAAAAAGTCAAAATTATCATTTCAAAAATATCATATTTAACTTGCTAAAAAGAAACAACTAAAACGACTACTTTTAAGAATTTAGAATAAACACATTCAAAATTTATACAAAAAAATGAAAACCATTTGTTGTTTTTTTTGTCTGTGTAAAATACGGTTGTTACATCGGTAAAAATAAAAGAAGCTTGATCGTTGAATATATGATTTATTAAATAGTTGAAAATTTTACTGTACGGTTAAAAATACTTTCAATAAAATAAAACAATAACAGAAGAGTAGCAACGTTATATCTAGAAACCTTCAAAATGTATAACATACCAGAACAAAACACCAGAGAATATCCTGTCAATATTGTATTATGATAAATT